CTGGCTTGCCCTTGGCCCTGCCTTCTCAGCTATAGACCTGCAGCATGACCATGGACCCTCCTGCTGTGGGACCCCTTTGTGTCTGGCTTGCCTTCCCTGAAGAGGTGGCTCTGCCTTTGCTGCTGCCTGACAAGAAGATAATTGGATGGGACTACGTAGTTCTCAACAAATTAATTTTATGTAATTATCCATTAATTGTCTACTTTCAGAAAGTGTCAGCATGTGCAAAGAAAAGTATGACCCTGGTTTACAGTAATTCTGCAAGTGGCTCCTAATGCAGCTTGAGGATGTGACTAATTCACCAGTTAGCATAAAACTATGCAGACTAATAAAAGGAACAGGGCTCTAAATGGTCAAGCTTTCACATTTGACCTGGCAATCCACTGCATGTGACACTATTTTGTCAAATAGCAGCACCTGTTTTTGCAAAATTTGCCATGAAATACGGCAAAATGTACAGAAAAGGAAGTGAAAAGTCTACACTAGCCTTGGCAGGAATAGTTGTTATATAGAAACTGCATTTAGCTAATAAGGAAGGAAAGGAAGAGGAAATAAGACAGTACATTTTATTATGGGTGACAAATCTGTTTTATTCAGAGCCCAGCCCTAGATGTCACCAGCTGCTGAAAATTACATTTGCCATGCAGAATCTGAAAGGAAATTAAATACATGATGATTAGGAGGGGGAGTGCAACAAAAACATGCAAAAGGGAAGCAAAAGAGAGGACAAGTGGGCAGTGAGACAGCCTAACCTTCCAGGAGAATACAGCAAGACAGCCTATGTGATAGAAGTGAAGACCAGAGTAAAAATGGTTCTAGGATTACTAAGGTGAAAATGAAGCTGGTCATAGTCAGGGCTGAGGACAAAAGACAAGTTAAAAAGGTGAAACAGAGCAGCATCTGATATAAAATGTCAGGACTTGAAGAAACACTGAAGGGCTCTCAGGATCATATACAAAATACAGGCAGCTTAGCTCTCAAGTAGCAGCTGGAAAAACAAAAGGCAAGCTAAAGGCATTTACTGCAAATTTCTACTAAGTGATAAAATTGGAGCAAGTAGTAAAATGTCCCAGATCACACACCTGAGAAGAAATCTTCTGGAGCACAAAGATTTCAGCAAGCTCATGACAGAAAGGAGGAAGTCAAGAGTTGAGGTGTCAAGAAAAACTAAGGTCAGCAGAAATACTGAGTGTGATGTTAGCCCTATGTTCTCTTAAGACACCAGGAACCACTCCAAGAAGGCTTTCCCTTCTCCTCTGCTCTGGCCAGGTGCTGAGTACACATCAGAAATGACCATTTATAGGGTGGTTGTGGCTCCTATTTCTGTGCTACTCGGCTGCAATATAAATTACAAAAAGGGAGAAACAACTCTAATTTCACCAAAGCCTGTAATAAAATTTATTTTAAAAAGCCATGCAAATGGAAAACTGCACCCATAACCTTTTCTGTCCTGGAACATCCTGAACACACCTCATAACCCAGAAATAACAAACTTTTTCCAGGTGTTTGCATGTCAACTGACAAAAGTAAGGAAAATCCAAGCTTGTTTTTTTTCTAAAATGAAATTCATTACAATGTCCCTATGTTGCTTTGCTCTGCTTGGGCTTGAAGAGATACTTGCTTAGATCAGAACTCTGGTAAGATGAAGTCTTCAGAAGAAGGTGGACACCAAATACCACAGCAACAAGGCACTCAAAATGAGGCACTTAGAAAGGAAATCAGGACTGGCAAATGCCAATTGCAGAAATACAGTTAATACACAGGAAAAAAGATATCCAGTGTGTGACAGAGAGAAAGCTTCTTGGGAGCTCTTTGAAACTCCAAGTGGGTAGACAGATCACTTTTTACTGTTGATCTAGGTTGCTCCACACAGAACTGCCCAATACTACAAGTAAAGGGGTCCCATTTCTGCAGAAGTCACTGCCAAGACACTGCAGTTTGCTCAGAGACTTTTTTCCTGGAAGGTCAATGCTGTCACAGTTGAGTCCTAAACACCTGACAGGTCTAATTCCAGGTCCTTTGAAATACTTCATTCAGCCTTAGGAACGGTATTCTACTGTACCCCCAATAAGAGAAATTTAATTCCCCACTGCCTCTGCGCATCAAGCCAGAATGACAAACTGCACAGATACACTTTCAGGTCTGTCTTCACAATGCTTGCTCAGAAGTTGAGCATTTGTCAACTGTGACCAAAAAGACAAATATAAAGTCTTTTAATGTGCCAAATCACAGCCTCAGAACAGAAGCTTCTGGAGACTTCAGTGAAGCTCCACAAACTTGTGGAGATTTGTTGTAGTCAGTACTTCTATCTCCCAGTCCTTATGGTTAGGACAGAAAGTTGATGAATACAGTTTTAACTTTGTAAATTCAAGAAGGGCAACATAGAAACAGGAAAGGAATTCCAGATAAGCAAGACAAACTGCATAAGGAAACTTCCCACCTGGGTATTGCAAAATAACATAGATAAATTCAGAGGCTGAAGTGTGCATACATCAGGATACTAAGCAAGTTATTTGCATCTGATGAATCCAGGATGTAAGAAAGGATGGACAGGCAGATATCTCAGGCTGCTTCCAACTCAGCTAGTCAATCTACACCATATGTAGATTACCTAAATTGCTCTGCTCCAGGCACGTCTGCATCAGCCAGTCAGCACAGTCTCCATTAGAGATTCAGGTGTTAGCTGTGAGCAGGCTTGTAAGCCAATACAGCACTAGGTGAAATACTAGCTTAGGCCTTGGAAGCAATACAGTTGTCTTCTTTAGCCTACACACATTCATTTGCTTGTCTCTACTTTCCTGAAGCAGCTTCCTCCCTCAAAATATTTTCAAAACAACAATCTCCTCTCCCCAAAACAAAGCTAAATGTCCACAGGACACCTTTGTAGATAATAAATTCATGTACATTGCAGGTTGAGAAAGAAATATACCTTATTAAAGGAATGGGAACATCCCTGAGCTTTTATTACAGCATTGGAACTTTTATTACCCTTTTTTTACTATACGGTTATTGTACTTTCTTAAAGAATTTGAAGCAAATGGTTTTACAATACTTCTCAGGATTTTACTTATGTAAATATTCTACTAGTTATTTGTATTTGATCTAGTCTATTTCTGTATGAAAAGTGGAAAGTATGGCAATGCAATTTGTTAGTAAACTTGTAAACAGCGATGTGTATTATTTTAGTTAGACAGCCTATCTCTGCACTCAATCCATAAATGTTTGAAATTAAAGACTAAAAAATATAACGGATGGAAGATGTTGAAAACAGACTGGAGTGGCAAAACTAAGCTCTCAAAGCAATCAAATGCAGTGCACTGAACACCTATGCTTGTTGTAAAATGAGTAAAAAACATGGCAAAAACTACCTGCAAACTGAAAATTATCATCAAATCCCACCCACCTTTCCACTATGAAACCTGTCAGGAAAAACAGAGCTTTGACTGAGTATTTCTAACAGGCTAAAACCTCTGAGGAATCACAGAAAGAAATGGTCCACTTGAGATGAGACATGGAACCCTTTACATTTAATAATTCCCTCAGATTTAAATTGTACCGTCTGATTTTTCCACCAGAAGCTTACTTTTAATGCTTTCATTAATTAGAAAAATTAATAGGTTTAAAAATGCAAACATTTAACAGTCTCAAACAAGCCTTCATGTGCCTGCTGAGGAACAGTACAGGTTCCCATATCACTGTTTGTTTCTGGGTGCAGCACTGCATTTTCAGCTATGCCAAGTGGGAAATGCCTGATAGTGAGATGATGCCATTCAGTTTGCTGTTGAGGGAAAAGGCACCAAAACCTCCTACAGTGCCTTGGCATCGTGCACTCAGGTCATGCACCACAGCAGTGCTCAGTCATACTTCCAGCTACAGCGTGGCTACTGATTTTCTGAAAAAGCTGGGACGAGCAAAAGAGGTGTACAATACTACACCAAAAGGAAACCAAAAGGAAACCTAGTACTCAAGGAATTTCACAGAATGGAATAAAAATCCAGAGCTAAAAAATCCCCCAAATAAGTATTTTTAAAAATCATGTTTGCATAGGCACCATTAGAAATACTTTCCACAGTGATGCTTCTGATATACATTTCATTCTCAATTAGAGGAATTTGGAATAGTTTTTTTACGCTTTCTGAGTTTTTTGTTACACTTCCAGATACACTTCCTAATGGAAACAGTTATTTTTCTTCCAAAACAGCAGGCTTTGATCAGGAGTCACCTAACTTCTCTGAGATGAGCAGCTGGAAGGTGAGATTGGTATTACTGACTCTAGGAGTTTGTGCATCTCGTCTTGGGGCTTTGTTGCTATTGGGGTAAGGGGTTTTCTGTTTGGGTTTTCTTGTTTCTTTTTTTGGGTTTGTTTTTTTTTTTTTTTTTTTTTTTTTTTTTTTTTTTTTNCTGTTCCTAGTTAGAGATTGCTGACTTGTTTACTTCATACAGTTTTTTTTTTTTTTTTTTCCCACAGAAAGTTCTCATGCTGTCCTGTCATCCTCCATTGTCATTGGAATATGACCTTTTTTTCAGGTGCTTCTCTCCCCTCTCTTCCTTCTTCTACTCTACATTCAAATTGGTTCAAAATAAAAGCAGCCTGTTTGTTGACAATTGCACTGCAAAAATTATTTGGGATAGAGTGAAAAAGGATGTGTCTGTCCCAACTCAAAGATACCACCCTGCAGAGAAATGTATGTAATTATGTATCTATAATAGCCAGATCAGGTTTCCCTTTTTCCAGTTTTAAAAACGGGAGTGCCATTAATACCTCCGCTCTGTGTTAAATCACAGAGCTGGATTCAAATTCATTTCTGCTTCCCCCTGGGATTTCCGATTTGCAGAGCAGCACACGTGCCCCTTTAGCGGTGAGATTCTGAGGTCTAAAGCAGGAGGTGTCACGTTCGGAGGAAGGAGAGACGCACACGCTCCGCAGCAGCAGAAGTACAGAGGGGGATGCGGTTAGCTCCGTGGGAAGCAGGCAGCGCGGCCGTGCGCGGGGCACTCACCTCAGCCCGCCGCGCTCCTCATCCGAGGAGAAGGCGCCGTTGCAGATGCTGCCGAAGGAGTGGCTGGGCTTCAGCTTGGGCTCCTCGCACTCCGAGGCGGGCTCTCTTTTCTTCCTCTTGCCGAAGAGCTTCTTGAAAGGCTGGAATTTGCCTGCCTTTTTCTTGTCTGCAGATGACAGGAGAGAGCGGCTGAGGGACGCGGGCGGCAGGAGCGGGGTCAAAGAGCGAGGCTGCAGCCCGGAGCGGCCCGGCGCTCGCCATGGGAATGCCGGGCTGCCGCTGCCCCGGGCGCGTCACTCTGACAGGGCGCAGGCAGCACCTTCACACCTCTGCTCCTGGCTCTAGCGAGCTGCAGCCAAGCGCTTGGATCCACAGAAAGGATCATTTTGCAAAGCCAGAGCGTAACGCTGCGGCCGTTTTAGGTTTTATAGCACAGTTTTGACCATTTTACCGAGAGACAACTACTGCTTTGGTCACCTCCCTTTGGATCCTCTGCCTTGAATTGAAAGCAAGTGAAAACAAACAGCTGTGTTTTAGCCTCATAACTAGTTGTTTACAAGTTATACAAGCCAATTTACAAAGGAACAAAGAGAAAAGGATCAATTTCTGTTGGTTTGTGTTGGGTTACTTCAATAAACATCCAGCTTTATATCAGCAAAGTCAATACACTTCTCTGACTTTTTTTCCCACAAGTAACTGAGGACAGAATTTGGCCAAGCATTTCTTCCTCAAGACACTGAAATTTTCAAAGCAACACCAAAAAAAGCACAGCAAAACCACAAAACATACATGAAGACAGGAACAAGAAATAAAAAAGCTAACCAGGAAAAAGTAGCCTCTTTTCTTCTGGAAAAAATAAAGGCAGCTTCCAACTGCTATCTCCCCATCTATTAAAAAGAAGTACTGTGACTTTCTTGTTAACCGCTGTCAAGAATGGGTTAATTTCTCGGGGCTGGGATGAATCAGAGAATGCATAAAACATAATAACTGTTAAAGCACTGTATGCCTCTTAGGCTTTACCTTAATTTTGCATTAAATCTACTTAAAACAAGGTAGTTGGGTTTTTCCTTTGTTTGTTTCTTTTTTAAACTCCAGCATTCAGCCTCCTATCATAATCTAATTTGAGAAGCATCATGTTGTGCTGGTGACAAATATTTTCATGAGCTAATTACATTCCTGCATGAGCTTTTCTCGAAGGCTGTATGCACACTGCCTCGGTGTGCTCTGCTCTTCCTGTGGGCTGGGGCTCAGCAGAAAGCCCTGGTTTAGTTGCAAAGTATATTCATGTAGAAACTTTTGACCAGGAAACCTGGAGTATCTTCTGTAGTGCAATAACATTCTTTAGTTCCACCTTGGGTTTTACACTCCTCTCTGCTGTACCTAAGCAGGGTAAAGCTACATCTGGGTAACACACCTTTGCAGTCACTGGTGGAGTGTCTGCAGGGTTTTCAGAGAGAAAAAATGTGACCAAGAGTACTTTGACCTGCCTACTTCCTGTGGTTTCCAAACTAGCATAGAACCAGAGAGTCCAAGTTGAATCCAGTGTGGCATCAAACTTACACGCAGTTCATCTTTCTGTACCTGATTATGGATGAAGTAAGATATCTACATTGAAAGTACAAAGTCAACGACACAAGAGATAGTAATTCTGCACTTCCTTTACAGACCCAATAGAAGTTCACACAGATGTAATTATTCTTCCTGGGCAGTGAGAATACACAGCATTTGTGCAAGTTCATTAAAATATCAGGGCATCCTCATAGCAGCATAAAAATAAAAAGCTGAATTATGAACTTCAAATTCAGGCCCAGCATCAGAACTTTCCAGTCCAGAATCACTGACTCACAATAAGCAGATGAGAAAAACAACAACTGGAACAGCAGTTTTACCAGTGTAGGAGAAAACAGGATATGGAAGATTACCTGTCTCCCAGCCCTGTTTTCCATAAGCAGACCAGCTTTCATCTCCAGCCAGACCAATTGCTTGCTGCTCAGTTCTGACTTTAGATATATGTAGAATATATTTATAAGTAATAGAATATATTCCTATATGAAACCTCTAAAATACAAGCAGGCAATAATGCAGAGAAAGAAAGAAATCATTGCTCTTGGCTACAGCTGCTCTGACCCTTAATGCACTTCCGAAACTGACTGCAAAACACCAAAAATCAAATGGTAGAGCATACAGGACAGAAAGCATCAGTACCAGACACAAGACTGGGTAGAAGAGCTATTTGTTCAGTTCTCACCTCACTTGTTTCCTCAGCTTTCTTCAAAAGGGAGAGCTGCATGACGCCAATTTTGCTGGTTAATGTAATTTACTGCATAAATCAATTCAACTACAGCATTTTTTAGAAAATGCTCTCACCATGTCATTCATCCACGTTACTCTTGTCCCCTCCTCTTTTTGAGATCTTCAGATATAACTGTGAATTGCCTCATTGACTTGAATTCTACAGTACTGATTCACCAACTATGAGTCTAGTGTTAAACAAATGTAACAGGTCAACACAGCTTTCATTTCATCAAAATAGGTGAAAACCAACATGCTTATCTGCAGGCAAGATTTGCTTTTCCCCATGTGACTTAACATGTCCCTTAGCTGTTTCCTTGCTGCACACCCATCATCACAGCTGTCACATTACTAAGCATGAATTCTTTAAATGAGGCTTTGTGACTCACTCCAAAGCCCACCCTGCCCTGTACAGGCTGAACATGCTGTTCTCCATCCTGCCGGGTTTCCAAGGAGGGAGTGCCTGACTGCAAGACAGTCTGTTTATGTAAATTTTTCACAAGATCTTATGGAGGAAGATGTGGGATGATATTGCACGGTGAAATGCTTCCTGTGACAGTAAAACAAGTACAAAAAGTATTCCAAACATCACCAATGCAGCATACAATTCTCTGCACAAAAGCCTTTTGAGTCTGTAGTTCTCAAACACAGCTCATCCCTTCTGTCCATCTCTACTGTTGAGAAAAAAGTGGGATAGGAAAGGATTAAAGTTGGGACATTCAACTGTGTCGACTCGCAACAAGGACAATTGCTGGGAGAGCCAAGAAACAAGTCAGTTTACATATGCTATTTGCTTCTCTCCTTAAGCACTTTAATGGAATCCTACAGATCCAGCCCCAGGAGGCCAGGAGAAATGAGTAATTAAACCTTTTTTTCTGTCTGTTTGACAAGCCTATCTTGTTCAAATCACTGTAAACAGTTAACAGTAAACCAGTTTTGAATCACAGAATAACATAAGGTGTGAAGGCGACAGATAAACAAGGTTGGATACACCAGCTAGGATAACACAGCACATATGGTAGGCGCTCCCTTCTCAGATACCAGAAGAGTAGCAGAGCAGACTAGAATAATCTGTAACCTGTCATATAATTTGTCAGATGCACAAAGACATGCAGTGTGTAACTCAGAGCCAGTTAAATCAGAGAGAATTGCCATCACATAGGCAGCACGTGGTGCCTCACTCCCAATGAGAAAGAGGACCAGCTTCTCCTCTCGCAGTCTCTCTTTGTGCTCTCCAAGAAGGTTGACGGTGGGTGCAATGGCCAGGAAATCAGGCACAGGCTCTGGACTCCAGCTGGCAAAGTCTTATCGACATGCCAGCTGAAAATTCCCCATAAAATAGCTTGCAGTTAAACTGCTCAATTCCATTGGGATTCTCAGGCTGTGCCGCCCTTCAAAAACAGCACAGAATCCTCCACACAAGCACAGGCCAAACAAAGACTTAACTACCATGATTATAGAGGGAAGAGATTTAAACTACTGGGAAGGGAGTGAGGAGCATATTCCAGACAACAGGCAGGGGTGAGGTTATGCCACTTAATGGGATACAGGAGATGTCAATGCCCATGGAAATAGCTGAAAAACAGTTTACAAGCAAATCAAACTTAACATGAGAAACAGAAAGACTCACATTATCCTAGAAGAGACGCCTAAACATTTAACAGGGTGTTTATTCCTAGCAGCTTTTCCTATTTGCTGCAGTGCTGGGGGCACTCACAGCAGTGTGGGTGAGGAAACCTGGGGGGCAGGTCATCTCTGAGCAGAGTTGACCAAGCACCTGCATCAGCTGGTGGGTAGAAAGATGATTGTTAAGGGGGGGAAAAATAGAAGCAGGATTCATATTGTTGATTTTAAGTTATTATGACCAAGATTTTTCAAGCCCCAGTTTTGAAATGGGGTTTGTAAAGATTTCACAGAATTTTTTGCTCACAATATGAAATGCAGCACCTGTCTGTGACACTTCTCATAGTATGACATATTGCACAGGAGCTGTCTCCAAACTTATGCATTCTCTGTTAGTGAATTTAATGGCTATAAAATATGATTAAATAAACTAGATTAATGTGAATAAGAATTATTTAATTGAGTACCTATTTCTATAATGAATTTGGGGAATGAAAATCCATATGGATGTAGCATTAAGAACTATGTGGCAGGGAGAGGATATGTGGGTAACTGGGCTGCAGGCACAATACAGCAGCCAAGGTGGAAAAGAGGACTTAAAGGTATTGTTAAGCGGGTAAGTTAACTGACATTTCTCATTGCATCTCTGCAACAGAAAAAGGCTGCTATGTTACACATTGCCAGTATCACTATTAAAAAAAAATCCCCCAATTTCAAGCTAATGGTTTGATTATTGATGCTTTTTTAAAAATAACTCGGGATGCATCCACTACAATAAGCACTGCTCCGCTGAGCCCTGGGTTGGCCAGGCATCTACAAAAACTTTTTTACTTTTCAGGTTCCCACCAGAAAAGCTACCTTCCCTCCCCCTTTTCCAGTCTGATCTAATGGCATAGAGCTTCTCTGGACAAACTAGGATTGGCACTTGCTTCCAGCTTTCCCACACACTCCACATTTCAGTGCATCCATTTCTGTGAGATGCCAGAGATGTTCATTTTTGTTGATAAATTTTCAACGCTCCCTGGAGAAGTGTTTCCACTCCTCCAGAAAAGAGAAATAAATTGTTTGGGATCAAGGAGGAAGAGAGCAGGCTTTGCTCTGCTTAACCATGTTCCCATATTTTAAAATAGGTGTGAGCTCCTGTACCTGTGGTAGAATATCTGATTTCACACTGAAAATTGATTTCTGGACATTTTCTACCTTCATGACCTGCCCTCAATCCATTGCCTTCTCTTCCATAGGTAGCTGGGG